AAATATTGTTGTTACTATGCATGCTGCATACAACGACCGTTCTGCTGTGCTGAAAAAAAAAGCTTACTTTTGCCGGTTGGTTTACTATTTGACAAACAAGGCATCTTGCAGTCATATTTTGAGGCTGAACCGCTCATTGCCTTTTACAGCTAGCAGTAGTAAAGATTGGCGATCGAACCTCGTTTACAGCCTAGAAAATCTATCCCCCCAAAAAAAACTAGTCCAAGCTTGCGCTCATCGTTTGATGAGTTAATTTTTTTCTTCAACATTTAAAATAATTTCCAGGATGACTTTCTTCCCAAAAAAAAAAATTGTTCGGACTTAACCCAAGATTTGGGTTTTTGCAGTTTTCAACAGTTATCCGTATCAGTAGCCTCTCGATTTTTCCAAGTGAACTCCCTACCGATCGGGTGGAACGGACGTACAAGGATGCCCTTTTCAGCGAAAATTGGCAGATCCATGTACAAGCATACCTCGTGGTATTTTCTGTTTTGTTGTTTCTGTCGCAGTAGTACAGTGGCGTATCATCATTGATAACTTCCATATTGTTCACAACCGACTCTGAGCGATCCCGAGACATTACTCTGCAACTGCTGATAATCAGTGGACAGGCGTAAGAAGTGATGGCATTTCTGAGCCACTCTAAGTCATTCTGCGCCGGAATTACTAAATTTTTTACGTACAAAAATATAAAATATTCAGGAACCATGCATAATTTTTGGCTTTTGAAAATTTCGGATCCGAAACGTGGAAATTTACGATCTTTTCTTATAAGGCAGTACTGTCTTGACAAGGAGTGCCATAAAGCAAAAAAAAAAAAACAGTTACAAGCAGTATAATACTGTTCTAACTTCAACAACTGCTGATTTTTTTACTTATGGAAACATAAAATATTCAGGAAAATGTTTTAAACAATAAGCTTTTTTTAAAAAATGAGTTATAGCGTGTTTGAGGCAGTGAATGCATCAGGCGAATGCAGAAAATTGTCATGATTTGCTTTTAATCAGTTCAAAAAATAAAAAGCCCGAAATTTTTGGTCGATGGTGTTTCCATTTTGGAACCACTGGATAATCTTGAGTATACGATCATAAGTATTTGGACTTCGGATCAATCACTTGTCCTGCTTTAAGAGGTTAATTGAAATCACGAAAACTCCTAATTTTTGTTCTCTAAATTTGTAAAGTTGTATTTAATTTGGTTCTGAAATAACGCGCTAGAATACTATGATACTCGGTTCAATTTTTTGGGAAAATAATGCACAAAAATTTTCAGCTTTAGCTTACTTCATTATTGAATTATAACTGGTCGAAATATAGATCCGAAAAAGCAGATTATGTTATGACAAGACTTGAGGTCCATTTTAGTTAATTTTCCCAAATTATTAAATGAGTTATTATCCTGACTCCACAGTCTGTGACTTTCTCAATCTTCGAAGAATTAGTCCAAATTTTTCTTTGCAAGCAAGGTCAAGCTTATTTTCAATATCATTCAAAACCGATTGCTCGATTCCGAGATATTTACTTTGCAACTCCAATAATCATTGGACAGGCTTAGAAGTAATGGCCAATTTTGGCCTAATCGCTTCAAATTATTCGGTTGCAATTTAATTACTTCACCATCAGACAAAGATAAAACCCCCTCCGCACCTACTCTCTGTAAGAAGCGGGGCACTCGGGAAGCAACACAAA